TCCTTTGGATTACACGGGGGAACTCCAGGGATTTGCTCGATGCGCTCATTTGTCCTTAAGCTGTTTCTGCAAAGTTAGTACTAAATTTTGCAAATGAGAATTATTTGAATTACCTGGTTCTCCTTCCTGTGGTTCACTGGGGGTTCCTCCATTTCCAGAATTAACAAGGTCAGAACGAGAATTCTCCAATGTATTGTTATTAGGCGTAGGTGTGGGTGGTGCAACAGGTAATCGACTAACTAGAGCTTGAAGAGCTTTGCTAACCCGTGCATCAATTACTTTTTGTAAAGCGTCATCTGCTCCTTCAAAATATTCAGATTGCTCTTGTTCAAAAGCACGAGATTCAAGAGTAGGAGTGCCTTCACGAGATTGACGTGATGAATTTTAAGGGGAAGGAACCACGTTAATGTTTTGTAAATCACCTTGATTTTGATGGATTTTATTTTCATGGTTTCCCAAGGTATTTTCACTGTTATTGTTGTTGTTGTTGTTTGACATAATGATAACAACAGATAAAATATAACTTAAAAAGAATAGATTATCAGATTCCCGGTAACGGAACCAATTTGTTTAACCAAAAAATTGAATATTTGGTTAAAGCTAGAATTTAAGAGAGAATTCGGGTTATTGATAATCAATAAATGAGAGACTTTGAGAACAACAATAAAGCAATGAATAAGTATATATTTCAGTATAATCTCAATGATATTTCGTGTCTACAGATGTTGAGACCTTCTCCCTTTATAGTTAATTCTAAGAGAAAGTGTAATGCCTTTGTCTTAATGAGGCAATTACGAGCAATAAATGACATTAAAAGAAACGTTACTCAATCATTCCTATTAAATACAAATTTTCTAACGTATTTGGCATTTAATGCTGAATTTGGACTCTTTTACGCTATCAGATTCATGTCTTCAATTCCTTCTGATCTTCGAGCTTTAAATGACTCGAACAGGTACGAGTCTCATTTCATTTGAATAATAGCTCGTGCCTTTAAGTATCTTCTCTCCCGCATCTGTTGTTGCTCGTGCCTTCTAACTGATTACCACGCTTTGACTATTTGACCGGTCCACGTGTCATGACACGTCATCTTCAATATTTAAATTCAGTTTTTTTCCAATACAATTACACCTAAGTTCTTTGGCTTGAAGGGATCTTTTATGCTTGAACTTCAAGTTGAGTATAAAATATTCTCATGGTGAAGTCTTGCTATGGTTTCTCCATGGAATTATGCATGTCATGACCAACTTATAGCTGAGCAAGACTGCAGCATGATAATTACACCTATGTTCTTTGGCTTGAAGGGTGTCTTTATGTGTGAACTTCTAGTGAGTTAAATATTCTCATGCTGAAGTCTTGTTCCTATTTTACTCTCATTTGTTACTTCATACTTGACAATATGCCATTTTGGCTCATGAGATACTTCACTACTTTTTTATTTGTACAAGTTACTTTTGCGTTGAACATTAGTAATTTGCTTGCTTTAGTCTCTGATGGAGAGTTTGCTTACTGGTTATTCAGGCAAGAGACCATTCAGACTTTATCTGCCGCATGAAGGATTATATATCTCGGCAAGAATTCATAAATAGAACCATATCTTCACTTGACAACCACTTTTCTGTGACTTCTCTGGAGCTTAAATCATATGACTGTCCTGATGACACGAAATTTATGCCCTCCTCTAGACTGCTGGGAAAACAAGAACTGGAGGAAAGTTTTGAGTCTGAATCTGGGAATGTCATACTTCAGTCACTGTAACTGCTAAAAGATAAGAAGACCTTCGCGTGAGGTGCTACTGTATGTCAATGTACCTTAATTGGTTATTCGTCGAGGAATAATTTTCCCTTTTTCCATGAGAGTATTTTTGTTGGATTGGGCTCCTAATCTGGTTGTGGTTGCCTACCTCCAACTCATTCATGTTGCTACTTCCACGGATAAAAATACTAAGGGAAGTGCTACCTTTTACCATTGTGCGTTACAGGGGGCATAATTAAGCTAATGAATTTTCTTGGAAAGAACTTATTCCCAAAAGAAGTTAAGAAGATGTAATGAAATTAAGACATTTCAGACAACAGAATGAGGGAAGAAATAGGAAAATGATGGAGTTTGAAGGAAGCTGATGGGAATCAGTATACCAAATGACAGTCTAGCAGATGTATTAGTGAATCGTGGTTGGATTAATTATATGAAATGACGAGTGGAAAGAATGTAATGGTGGTGAAGACTGTTTAGAAGGAGTGTTGAGAGTAAGCTTGGGCTGCTCTGTATCCTCCTAAACAAATCATGGAATTCGGTCTAATTCCCTGCTACATCTTTCCATAATTTTCTGAGTGAAGCCTTAATATCATATATTTTAGCTTTTCTACTTAGCAAAACTACAACGTGGTTGGGGAGTACAAACTACACTCATTTACTCGTATTTTTGTGTCAACAATGGCTTCATTCACAATCACTGAAGCGGTATTCTATCTTTATGATGGAAAGTTCTTTGTTGACTTTCATGCAGATCATTCGATCAGATACGAACCAGAAAGGTTGAAATTATGAGGTTGTAATTAATATGTCTTTGTGCTGCAGGGTGTGTATGTTTTCCAGTATACTCAAATATCTATGATCCTTTTCTCAAGTGAATCAAGTACTTTTTCCATCACAAGTAAACCTAGTTGTTTGACAGTAAAGAGACACTACAGCAAATTACATTTCCAATGGCTAAATAACTCTATTACTAATGAAGAAACCCGGGATTATAGATATCCACAATGATTACCAAACTACTTCCACACTTTGTTTAAAATCTTACAATTCTTTCCTTTCATGATGTTAAGAAATTACTTTTGAAAAATATCTTGTGCTTCTAACGTTTCTTACACTTAACTGAAGTCTTAAATCAATTAGCCAGTTAGGTGCCACATTCTTTTTAATGAAATATCTGGCTGCAGAGGAAGACTACTACTAAATCAAGCATCCTCATCTCATAATGTTTTTTTTTCTTTTTACCGATCTGCAGTAATTGGTATTCTTGCTAGACGGTTCTTCTTTTGGTTATCATAGAATTTTGAATGTTAAATTATGCATATCTGGTTTTTCTCATCATTGGAATATTAGCATGTTCAGCATTGTCCGTTAAGTGATTTTCTTTGAAGTTATTACCCGAGATATAATAGATAATTTCAGTTGATGTGAATCTTGCGACTCCAAAACTGCTTTGTTTGTTTCGTTCTGATATAGACTACAAATTACCTAGGGAAA